AAGGTATACACGTTGCATTTCACTACTATATAGAAAACAAATGCAGTCTAGTCAGGAAAAAACCAACTGGACTCTATTACACACACCTTAATGACAAGACTTGCCACTGTTTGTGAATGTAAAACATTTAATTTAAAAATGTTGACACTACAATATATAAGATAGCTATTATAAATGCACATAGTGTATTCTATAGCTGCCAGGTTTACTTTTTTTTAAGGCAACTGTAAGTTACACTGTGGTTAAGACTTGTATCGTCACCCTTGCAAGAGCCCCCATTCTATCACAGTGATGTATGCTGAGACTTACCAGCCCCAATTGTTAAACACTTGGATCAAGTCGTAACCAGTTTTATTGCAAAAGGTCCCTGTACACATTTATCAATTCTAGTACCTTAATAGCTACCCAACAAGTCATTAACATACAGAAACATGCATCATGAGGAACAAGAAATATCCTCCATCCCTTCTGCATATTATCACCTTGTCATTCCTGAGCAACAGCGCTCACATCACTGGGGTCTGTGAACACTTTCCACATTCATCCTGAGTGAAAGATGGAATGACTTAAGTACAAATGCGACATATTATAAAGAATTTCTCACAAAAAAGTTCACAAATTAAACCAAAGTATTTTACAGAATTTACTATGAAATACCATAAAAATTGCCTTCACTTAAGCTCTCTCTCTGTATCCGCCGGGCCAACTGGATGTCTTTGGGCATGATGGTGACTGTCAGCCTGGATGGCACACAGATTAGTATCTTCAGATAAGCCCACCAGATGTGCTTCACTAGCCCCCTGAAGGGCACCAATGGCTGCACTCTGAAACCTCAAGTCGGTTATGAAATCCTGGGCCAGCTCTCTCACCAACCTCTGGAAAGGCAGCTTCCCAAGGAGAAGCTCGGTGGATTTCTGGTATCGACGAATCTCTCTAAGCCGCACGGTACCAGGCCTGTAGCGATGAGGTTTCTTCACCCTGCCAGTAGAGGGGGCGCTTTTCCTGGCAGCTTTAGTGGCCAGCTGTTTTCGGGGGTGCTTTTCCACTAGAGGACTTCTGAGCATTCTGCTTGGTTCGTGCCATTTTCTTGTGCTCAGCGCAGAAGTCTTAGGTCGTGTTTCCCACCACTGCGCTGGCCTTCAGGCAACAGCTGCAGTTGACGAAAACAAAAACGACAACTCCTCAATGAACGACCAAACCGCTTTGCGCCTCAAATGACTATTGAATATGGGACTTTATTACAAATAATGATTTCACGATCTTGACAAGAAAATGGTTTCTTATCTGTGTCTGCAGTGGGGGAAAATGTGAAATTCCACCACTCTACTTTCCCCTTTGATTGTGAGCTAAAGCTTTCCTTGAGTGATTTCTATTTCCTTTAATCCCAGCACTTGGGAGGATGAACACAGGAAGATGACTACAAATCCAATCTGTGTAGTGAGACAGTGTAGACCCTGTCTAAAAAGAAAAGCACATGGTATTCTACAGATATGTACAATGTTTATTTAAAATTAATTTAAATGAAGTCATATATTTAGCACTGAACTGATTAAATATTCTGATTTTGTATATATATATATATATATATATATATATATATATTTTTTTTTTTTTTTGTGGCACCAGGGATCAAACTCAGGACCTTGCACTTTCCAGGCAAGCGCATATTCCACTGAGCTATCTCCTTGGCCCCCACTGTATTTATATAAAGAAATTATTGAATAACAAATAAATATAAGGAAAACTTTATAGTAGAATGTAAAAACCATGATAATAAAAATAAGAAATAGTTTTTGTCTATGTGACAGTAATCAGTGTTTCTTGAAAGAGTCATGAATGTCACTAAATGTCACGAATGAAAATACAGTCAGAAACTATATTTGAATACTGTCAAAGTGCTCTCTCAGACATTTATTAACTCATTACTAAGGAATAACATCTTTCACAGTAAGAAAGCCCAGAACAAAGTTAACACCTCCAACAATGGAGTGAAGTCATCATCTCTTTGTTAGTATTTTTTGTCAAATGGAATTACCTGAATTTAATCATGAGGTAACTCCTACCCAAGTCTGCACAGTAGCCACAAATCTTCAAAAGTGTCAATGCCATAAAAGACAAAGGCAGTAACTATTTCTAATCAAAGGAGACTAAGGAGGTACATCAACTACAGGCAATACATAGTTCTGGAGTGGCCCAGGCATTGAAAAGGACAAGGGTGAGATAATCAGATATATCTGACTAACCTGCAGAGATTAGATAATGTTGGCTTATTGTTGTTAATTTTTATATTTGATCACTGCGCTATGACCAACATAGATGCTAATATTTGGAGAATCTTGGTGAGAGTGCTACTGAACACATTTTGTAAAGTTTAAAATTATTCCAAAATGAAAAGTTACAAACACAGTAATTGCTTTAGGGAATGCTAAGTTAGTGAAAGGCATTACATATGCAAGCAGCCTAGCTGAGTACCTGCCAAATAAGAAGTGCTTATAACTGTTCTAATTTTATTCTTCCAAGGTATTTATTTACATATCCTCCAGAGAGCTCTAGAAAAACAGATAAAGAGAGGAAATGCAAACTTAGCAGTTTTTTGGCCTCCTTGATGAATTGTAAATTTATACAGAGAATCAAATAAGAGAAATTATCCTGGCTTTCAAATGACTGTGAAGAGGTACCTTTATTTTTGTTGTTCTGAGTGTCTATAGCTAACACATGACATCTTCTATAACCCTCTCCCATGATTTGTAATAGGGGAAAGATTTTTTTGAATTATAAAGGGATCATTAATGAAGGATTTTTAAAGTGTATATTTACATTTACACAGTATATTTCAGTAAAGGTTAATAATAATCCTGGTGTGCATTTATAAGTATATTAATGAAATTATTATAGGTTATGGTAATAGTAAGAAAAACATACTGTCTATATAATGGTGGCTGATATTCTACATGGTGGACATTTATGTACAAACACACTTAATTATTGTAATCATGCTATGAGGTATGATGTTATTCTCTTTATACTTGAGAAAACAGAGATGCAGACTGGTTAACTTACAAAATGTCATTGAGATCAAGGAGTTGAGCAAGATTTGAACTCAGACAGTCTTGGTGGGAAAGCCATGCTTACTGTCATTGTCTTTGGAATCGCAACAGCAGTACAAAACTGCAACACAGTGCAGTATAGCGTAAGCATTTATACTCAGTCTTTTATTGTTGTGTGAAGAATGTGCCAATGACCCAGGTTTCAATTCTCTTTTACTTTGTAGGTCTGATGGATCAAAATGCATGCACATCTTAGCTGGAGTTTCTCTTCAGGTTGCTTTGGACTGTCATGAAAATGCTGGCTCGTTTGTTCACATTCAGAGGCTCCAGCAGGCAAATCCTTCAGGTGCCAATAAGCCTGAGGACCTTGTGGTAAGGTCCACCTTTAGGTTTTAGGGATTCCTCAGACCCCTGTCACATAGCTCCCTGCACTTCATTTTCTCAAACATTAGGAAGGCCTGAAAACCATCACGTGTGAGTGCTGGATTATCCGTATAGGTAACCTACTTTTAGTTAAATTTAAATCAGCTGTTAATAAGTTTTAGCGGCTGAATTATGTCAACTCAAAATTCATATATTGATATTCCAAGCTTTGTGCCTTTCGATGTGACTTTATTTGGAGACAGAGCCTTCAAAGAATTAATGAAGGTAAAAATGAGATCATATGGGTTTGTTTTGATTCAATATGATGGATGCCTTTTTAGATAAAGACCTTAAAACATCCACAAAGCACAGACAGCAGGATGCCCTGATGCCAGTAGAGAGGCTATAGAATGAAACTAACCCTGACGATCCTTTGATGTGTCTAGTATCCTATAGAACTGTTAGACAGTGTGTACATACAGTCTGTGAAATTTTGTTATGGTGTGCTAGAGTGTACCAAACTCAACTCATGCAGCAAAGCTCTAGCAAACGTAGCATTCAGATCACAGACCTGTTGTCTTACCCTATTGATAGGGTCTGTCTGTGCTGAAGGAGATGGAATTTTGAAAACCACGCATATCAGTGGATGAGAAACAGCAGAAATTCTGCCTGCTGCAGTGGAGTATGGGTGATGCTAAGTGCACACTTGCTTCAGTTGACAATTGTAAGAACAGTCTCCTATGAATGAGATAATTGGGATGGGCATACAGAGGAACTTGGATTTACAGAAAATGTGTCATAGACATAGAACATAGACAGACTACTTAGAAGACCATTCTATGATCTTAGATCATTTAAAAATGTCCAAAAAAATGTATAGCGATGACAGCTTTTAGACTCACAGATCACCCCATCCATCGTGTATTAACCAGATTGTCTCTTCTATGGTTGAGAATGAAATAAACCTAGCAGATTCCACAATATTGTGCATACATTTGAGTCACCCATGAAAAGGATTTGTCAGAAAATGTTAAGGAAAATGCATAAGGAAAATTGGATCTAGGACAAAAAAAAAAAAAAACTAAGTCATATTTGTCACTGTTTTCCATGCTGGTCCAATGCTCCCTCTCCACTCTGCTTCTCCCTCTGGGGTCTCTTCCTTCACCATCATTAGGCTGTTGCTTTCTGTTCAAAGTCATGCCCTTGTTTTGAAGAAGGAATCCAGTAGCAGTCAGCAGCCGTGTTATTTCAATAAAGGTCAATGTCTTATCCCTCTCACATCTACATGGGTTTTGCTATTTCAGACATTGCTTGATAAGGAGATCTAAATAGAATTTCTTGTTGTGAAAAATCTCAAGTTTTTTTTGCCTCATAGACAGAAAAGAGATTTTTCTACCATTATTTTGTTAAATATCATTTAGTGGGTAATGCTGGGATATTTGGGTTGGATAAGTTCAGAGCTGCCTTAAATTTGATGCAATATTGGGTATAAAATGTGAAGTAAAGGGAAATGTACATCTACTCCATCACAAAGGAGAATGGCTAGTTGATTTTATATTTTGTACAAAACAACTTAAATGAATTGGGTTTTAATGTTCTTTATCTAACTAGAGTTTTGTATTAGACAAAAGCTACAATTTGTCAATAGTACAATAAAATGGTTACAGGTAATCTAGAATAACCATGTGAAAAACACACTTTGCCTCTTGATTTCAGATATAATTAACATTTCATTGTCTTTGTTCAGTACTTAGCTATGACTTGCAAAGAAAGGATTCTACAAATTATAAAATATTGCAGAACTTAGCACAGTATAAGTCAAAAGGTAAGAAACACTTCCAAGTAAGTTTTTCCTTCTTAGTTGTTTGAATGGGGTGTGGGGGCATATTGTGGCTTGAAAACAGTATTTCTTTTTGTAAAATTTGAATGTCTTTTTCCCAAAGAAATCCATGCAGAGAGGAGAGAGAGAGACAGAGACAGAGAGAGAGAGAGAGACAGAGACAGAGAGACAGAGACAGAGACAGAGACAGACAGAGACAGACAGAGACAGAGACAGACAGAGAGAGAAAGATTTCTAAAAATTTATATGTAACTCCATGAAATCAGCTTTGGGGATACTATTTTCATGTTCTGACTCATGTTCATGAGAACTTTTTTAAATCTCAGGAATATATAGGAATATATATTTGATCACAGGAATATACATTTGCTTCTATAAGATTAGAGCTTCTCTCTGCATATTGATGAATCTTAGCATTGCTATCTTTTATTAATTTACTTCAAAGTATCAAGGAAAAGAGTGAGGTGGGATACAAAGTTAAGCCCATCACAGATCGATTAACAGCAATGATAGTAATAATAAACACAAATATAATTTTTACCTATACAGAGCATTGTAAGTAGTTCAATATTTTTCACAGCTATATGGAAGAATGAACAAATGTTTTTGAAGAGCCCCTTGTGGTAGCTGTAGTGAGTTATGAATACTCTTATATTACATAAAAAATGTGAGGGTCAGAGACAATGAGTGCTCATGTTTAGAAAGATTATACAAAAATTGAGCTAAGTTAAAATCCCAGTATTTCGACTCCTTTGAGGCAGATATATATATTGGTATTACTGATATATGGCTTTTTATTTCAGGGAAATTAATG